AAATGAGTATGCGCACTTGATTTACCATTTGAAACCGACAGGGTGTCGATTTACTCGGTGCCGTGTTTCACAACTTGTTTATTTATATACGTATAGCGAATGATTTGTTTTGAAAATTAGTATTTTTTGATTTTCAGCCCCCAAGTGACTGTGCATAATTCATCCGGATCTGAGCACGATCTGCGATCCGAGTGGGAAGTTCACGCTCGCTGGATCTTACGTGGATGATGCCATCTTGGATTCACGATCACGAGGTCAAAATTGTTTACATCATAAATATATATTTTTTTCACATTTTGATCTCAAAAAACAAATACAATATCAAAAATACTGATAAAAATCAAAACCTAGAATAATAGTACGACTACATTTCTAAAAATAATAATGAAAATACGTTTCGTACACACCGGAAACATGTGTTTTTTGACCCCAAGTGTGACTATATCATTTGCATATGCATATACGTTTGGCAAAAAGCATTTGACACCGGGGCTTACGGCTTTGTCTTTATAGAACTGTTTTGTTTTTTTAAACGATATCCAACCAATGAGAAACAACAGGGGATTATCCCGGTAAATTGGCGTTAATACAATGCATTTGTAGATTTAACTAGTTAGCCAGGAAACTTTACAGTCTGTGAGAGACTGAAGAAATCAGATCACGGGATAAATAGAAGCATCGTGGAGGAAACACATAGCGTCGCGGGCAAATCCGATCACGTCGCAGGCAAATCCGATCGTGTCGCGGCCCGCGACGCTGTTTTGGCCTGGGGAGAACACTGGTTGAAGCCCTGTTTATGGAGCATATACCATTGTTTTAAATATGGTGGCTTATTCAATTAATATTGTGATCTAATTTGTAAAATGATTAGCATATAGTATTGTAAATAGAAAAATCTATCATTTCTAGAAACAAAAAATTACCTCTGCAAGATACATGTTCTCCTGTCCATTCACCATTTGCTTGACACCGCTGCTGGCTTGAACCATGTAACTTATAACCTATGTTGCAGCGGAAGATTACCACTTCATCATAAGTAAATGTGGATCCAATCATTGTGCCATCATCAGGTGGTAACAAACGAGGGCAGCTTACAGCTGTAGATTTAAGTATAGAGAGGTATGCAGTATTAGTCAGAATCTATTGATTGGCTGAAGTGAGGTTTCAAACCTTCACTAGGTACCCCAAATCTGAATGAACTGGGTTATGTACATAACTGAACATGGAAACCTGATAAAAATAACACTAACTGTTACTGCCAAAAAATGTTCAAATTATGTTGTGATGAGTATGTGAACCTATTACAATGAGGTCATAATTGCTATATTTTGTAATATACAAAAAGTTCCTAAATGCCCAAGCAAAGGAGATCATTGGCTAAGGCCTATTCTTACTAAATGCTTCTCAGTTGATATTACTTTTTATTACATGCTTTTAAGTTAGTATACTCCAAATCATCAACGGTTAGCAAAAAACATCTAAATTAAAGCTATACCGTAAAAACCCGCAAATAAGCGCCACCCTCAATTAAGAGCCACTCAGTGAAAATTTGGTACATTTGACCCTCCATTAAGAGCCACCAAGAGTTGAGTGGTTTTGTCAATAAGAACCCTGAAATAAGCGCCAGCCGCCCGGTTGTTTACAATCAGGCAGACACCAAGCTTGTCGTGCCTCACTTCCACCTGCATTGTTTATTGCCCCACAGAAGGTGTGAGACAAATAAAGATTATCCCCATAACTTGCCTGATGTCCTATGTAATTGAGAACGGAAGAATGATAGACGAAAGAAATGCACTGAGAGCGTGAATGTGACTGTCAACTTGTCCATTTTATATTCTGAC